TGAGGCGGCGTCTTGTAGCTTGAGAGTCTTGTGCGGCTGTAAACATGTTGAATATTGGAAGGCAGATGCCAAAGTGAATTAGTTAGCAGCTACACAATCTGCCCTTCCTACATGTCTGTAATTACCTTCCTGTGTGCCCTTCTTGTTCCCTGTTCCTTGGTAGCAGCCGCTCTCGAGCTTCTCCCTGCGACACCCCGACAAGATGAAAGTCGCGAGAAAGAAGTACTGGATGTGATCCAATCACATCCAGCACTTACTCCATTGTCACCCAATCAGATTTTGCCATACGGATCCCAGTTATTATTCTTCGAGTCAGTTGGCTCGTCCAGCTCTCATTACGCGACGCCACTTCAACAAACTGCCACTACTTGCACAGATTTACAAGCTTCGACAACACAAGCAAAGCCTCAGATGGCGCAAAGAGAAATTAATTTGAAAAAGATGTGTTCTAGCCCAAACAACACCGCAGATGTGGAACAACAAAAGAATCTTCACGGATTACTGAAATTGGACCAGGATTGAAGCAATCAACTTTTTTTATGAGAGGTGGCCTCGTAGATGCCACTTCCCAGAACCAGAATGACCAGTTGAACAAGAAACAGCTGAGCACAATATCTGAAAATGCGAGAAGTCTCAGCTAGCGTCAAAATTGTAAATGGATCGATGACTAGCGAAGACTATGACGTCCAGTGAAGGATCAGCACTATTATCGCAATTAGCAGTACGATAATCTCCTGCAGTTACACCCAGTTTCTTACAGAAGCGCAACAATGTATTACAAGATGGATAGCAGATCATGAAGCAGCTAGAGAAACAATGGAAGATATGAACAACGATTTTACTCGCGATGCTCTTAAGACGTCGGATTAAGTATATCTTCATAGCTGTACACATCAAGTCGAAAGAAGCAGCGCAGACGGTTTGGCGGCAGGAATCTTCCAAGTAAAAGCGGTAATGAGTACATGGAATTCGCAGGCGAAATATGAGTGGCAGAATACTGTCTGGGGATTTGTCAAGCGATGCTGAATCAGCAATGGGACGCAGACAAATATACAGGCATCGCAGCACCACATCGTAGTACCACGTTATGAAAACCAAATCATCAAGTGGACAACTGCTGTGTAACTGGAGAAAGAAACGGATTTGACATTGCAGGCAGCGTGGCCTTCCCAGTACCGATTTCACCAGCAGAATTCACCGACAGGACAATGCAGACAGGAAGAAAACTCATCAAGAACCAGGAATTGACGACTCAAATCTTTTTTAAGTTAAAATCAGCAGTACAAATCTAAAGCAAACTAACCAGAGGGAAAGAACAGGAAAGCACACTACTCCAGATAAGCCTCAAGACAGCTTTTTCGCTGTACAACGGGTAAAACAGACGAGAAAATCTCTCAAACAAATAGAGTTTTAGCCCAGAGACAAGAAAGCTAGAGGCGCAACAAAGCCTACGATAACAACTTTTTTAGCAATGGCCAGATTTCCTAGAACGGGTTGCAGTAAGCCAGTGTGTTACCACAAGAGAATGGATCAGATAGACAATCACATTGGTTGATCATCTCAATACATTCCGGAAAAAAAAATTAACAATACAGAACACACCATATGCACCGTATGTTAAACAACCACAACACATTGAGTTGCTAAATAATAGTAAAACACAGATTAGCTAAGTGCTTCGTTAAATACGGCAGCTTTATACTGGTGTGTCGAGTAGAAAGGAATATCGTGAATGAAAAGATTTATTTAGGTACTAAGTTTGCTACTTTGTGCTGCATCTAAGACTATCCACCTAGACCCTTCTTGTAGCGTCTTGGATGACGATAACGTCACACCCATACCAGTATCAATCAACAACATAATCTGTAATCATGTAACGCCTTTAATCTTGTTTTTAAAGATTTAGGGGCGTTATCGTGTAAGTGCAACTTTAACACTCCCACTCGCCGCTATTGCATAGTTGGCATGAATCTTGCATTTCGAAGAACCCAAAGTTTCTTGATCCCAAAAGGCTTTGTCATCAAGTCTGCTAACTGCGTTTTGTGCTACTATACCTTATTACGATCGCATCTCGGGCCACGTTCTCCTGAATGGAGTGATGACGGATATCAACATGCTCTGATCGGACATTGTATCTTGCATTGTTTGCAAGCACAAAGGCACCCTAGTTGTCCTCGAAGATCAAAGTCGTTCTGGCTTGTTCATGACCGTAAGGCTCTAAGTTCAACGCCAAGTAATCGGCTTCTGCTAAGTTGAAAGCCACTGTACGTTGATACTTTGACTTGAAAATTACAGGAGCGTGTCCAATCATTACCAAGATCTCGGACACAGAGCGCCGGTCGTTGATGTTACTATCCCAGTCGGCATCCGTGTATGCCACAATGCCCGAGTCACCGATGCTGCCTGTTTAGATAAGTCCATGCTCTTGGTCGTCTTGCAATATCGATTGACATGAATGGCAGCCTTCCAATGCTGCTGGCCTGGATTTTCAAGGTAACAACGTATGCAACGCCCGGCAAGGGGATGTCATAATGTAGAGAGGGAATTTGATGAGCAACCTGTATGGCTTCGAGCGCATCTTGACTGGACCAACGTCGGTCGTCGGAGACTGCATTTTACTCAGCTTTGATTCCGAATAGCACGGATATTCGACTGCCCTCGCGTTTTGCTGGTTGAATTGTTCCATTGAAACGGGTTTGTTTGTCTTCTTTGCCCGATCATGACTTGATTCCATCCTTTATATGAACTTGATATCACCAAACTCCTTCGTTTTAAATGCTTTCTTTAGCGCTGTCTCGGCTTCTTTTATCTCTTGCTCGTTTTCGCAGCAATGAACATGTCATCACCAGAGAGCCATACGTGCACCAAGCTCGATATCTTATTCATAGCGTACACGCGTTAGACGACTCCACAGATCTTGAATCTGACCTGCAAAAATATCTGATGAATTGTCTTGTTCCACGTGCAAACTGTCCGTATATTGTTTGATCAACTAAGTAGTTGCGGTTCTTGACGTTTGTGACACCGTGTGGTACTTCCATTTACACTTGTGCCTCCAGATCACTGTTAAAGAAGCAGTATTAGCATTTGATTGTTCGTGACATAACCCTCTGTCATAACAAGTGCCATCACCATCCGAATCAATTTCATAATGGCACCGGCGAGTACGTCAAGAAAAATACACCAAACTTTTGATTGAAGCCCTTGACTACACGCTGAGCTTTATATCTTACTACTTGTCCACTCCCAATTTGCTTTTTTGTAAAGACTGACCGACCATCTATTGGGCGCATATCCGCACTCCAGGATCCATGATTTATTAAGATCGTGCGCGTTAAGTTCAGCCATCATGGCTTCCATCCATTTTGGCGCATTTTGACTTGTTTTGGCTAGCTGATACGTGTTTGGACGTTTGCAGCAAATGCTAACACAGCTTCAGCAATCAGGTCGTCTTCGTCTTTTAAGCGCTGGGACCAGAAGTGGTCGTCAATGTTAGGATCACTGTTATAGTCTTCATCAGCAGTTTTAATATGAGTCGCGTTGAGGCCTGTCGAGCTGGAATTCGCGCAACTGTTGCCCAAAAGTATGGTCAAAATGCGGTCCAGATATCCCCGCTCTATTTGCGGTGGTACATCATATTCTCGATGATTGCTGGTCCCCTCGCTCTACGCAATGGCAAAGTCGAATGGTTCTGATCGGTGAATGACCTCACGCATCGCGGTATGTTTGATGTGCTCCTCAACTGGCAACATCGGTTCATCGACCATGGATGAAATTTGATGGTGATGCGTTTGGTCTTCACTGTCCAAGTAGATCTTGTCATCGCACTTGCATGAATCACAACTGGTAATTTTGTATTCTCAAAGTGGTATATGCTATTCATTTCACGCTCGTCAAGTTTAAGAGACCTTACCACTTGGATCTTCTGTGACTCCAAGTTGAATGCCCTGAAGTCCTTGGTATGGTCGGCATACTTCAGAAACAAGCAGCAAAGCTTTCTGCTTTGATTTTCGTTCGCTTGGGATCATCTACATGCGCTTAACCGTGGATCCGAACACGCGCAGGTGGTTAAAGTGTGGCTTGATCTCGAAAATTATCTCGTACGGCGTTATGTCCGGGTGGGTACCATTGGTGGTCCTGTTGATCACGTAGACTGCCGTGTTGACTGCCTCCGCCCGCCATTCGGCAGATTCCCTTTGTAATGTAGCATGCTTCTTGCTTTTGCCATAATGATGCGGTACACCATCTCAACTACTCCGTTTTGCCTCGGACTGTAAGGCACAGTTTTCTAGTGTATGATACCTTCAGGGTCACAAATATTCAGCGTCCTATTTACAAACTTCAAGCCATTGACCGAGTACAAACACTTAAGGCGATTCCGCCATCTTGTAAACTTTGAAGATCCGCGCAACCTCGCTCTTCTTTTTAAGGAAGTACACGACTACACATCCTGAATTGTCGTCCGCAAATATTAGCACTTAATGTGATCCTCCTTCGAAAGTGTTTTCATGGACCGAATCATGTACATGCGATGCATTGGACATCGATTAAGACGTAACCTGATTCGCCGTCTGCTTGCGCTTTATGTATCCACCACATAACATATTGGTCTGCTGCTTCGTCGCTGGTATACCTATTGTAGCATTTTATGTTCATGATGGTGGATCTGAATTGAGGTGACCTTACCGAGCATGCCATAACCCCACTGGCTTCCAACCTTAGCGTAATCCATGTAATGAACACTTTTTTGTTGCCAATTCAGCATGTAGGCTTTGATTACTTTCGCGCCCGTAGCTATTGCTCCTGAGTCATTCAAATAGTGCACACTGTTCCTTGAATATCAACGCTCAGGCCGCGAGCAGCAAGTTTTCCAACTTACAGTAGTCGTCGATTTTGTCCTGGAATGTGTCATACCTCCATTATTCGAATTGATTTATGATCTACACATTTCAGCCGTACCGAACTCATTCTAACTACGCGCAGCTTCTTCTTATCCACAATTGTTACTTCAACGTTCTCATTAACGACAACATATTTGCTCAGGTCTTCACATGCGGGCTCATGTGTGAAGTCGCTCGGCTGTCAATCAAACATCCAGTGGATTGATGCTCTTCAATTGTGAACCGCGTCTTCATCGTTTATCTGGGCAGTCCCGTTTTAAATATCCAATTTGACCGCACCAAACAATTCACACCTCTAATCCCCCTTTGTTCTTGTGACCGTTGTATTTATTGCTAAAGGTGAACTCCCCTTTGTTTCTTGAGTTGTATGAAGTGGCATTCGGCGCACATTTCGTACTTTGTATCTTGTCCCGACGCTCGAACTCATTCGGTAGTTTTTCCTGTAACTCTTTAAGCATGATGCCTTTCGAGTTTTTAATAAACGATGAGATTAATTCGTACTCAGCCGGCAGGCTTTTTAGTAAAAGTAATGGCTGCCTAGCATCATCTAGTGGATTTTCAAGTGCCTGTAGCCTCATGATAAGCTCGTCAGGACTATCGAGATGCTATGCCATGGTCACGCCATCGTCCATCATGAATTCGTGTAGAAGACGGGTCATTGGCACACAGTCGTGAATCGTGGTCCGGTTGTAGAATTCTCGTAGGGTGTCCTAAGCCCGCATAGCCGTTGTTGCCGAGCGAATCTGGGCATGATGCTAGGGAGCGACACCTTGTACAATCAGTCCCAGCGCCTTCATGTCGTTCAAAATCCACCCCTTGGCCATCTCTGCCTCTGCTTTGACCGTCTGCACATGCGCTAGTAACCCCTTATTTGTCAGCGTCATTAGCATAGCATACTCTCAGTGTAAATAATTTCACTTCTAAGGATGACTTCAGTATGCTAAGCAAAAATTTAGCGAGAGGCTTGAGCTCCTCTGCGGCTGTGAACAGGTCGATACGTGTGTCGAGTAAAAAGTATTTGTGAAGTGAAAATAATCATTTAGGTACTTAGCTTGCTATGTTGTGTTACCTTAAGTCTATCCTTCTAGACCCTTCTAGACCCTTCTAAAAGCTTTTTAGTGAATAGCCCGTAATCATGTAACGCCTCCAATCATGTCCTCAAGCATTCAGGGGCGTAATCATGTAACAACAACTTCAACAAATTTAATTTTCGTATTGTCAGTTCTTTAAAACATGAAAAATGATTTCAATCTTATGCGTAAGATAATGGCGCGCTTTTGATGGATATCATATGTTCTACATCTAAGGTTGGTAAATTGAAAGCGCTATTTGCCCGTCCATTTCGGATTTTTTCGCCCCCTGAAAATTTTTCCTTACATCGATAAATACAGTTTTCAATTAATGGACCATTGTCTTGTTTTCTTGGAGAAGTTCGAGAAAATAGGCAATCCAATAGACGACCCCCTGTTTATCTTTTGCGAGTTTCGTTTGTCAAACCGAAAGGATTACCCGACTCAAAGCCGCACTGTTCGTTGTCGTTGTGCTTGTTCACTATCTGAAATGACATTCTGAGTACGGTAAAAGCTCTAAAACAGTGATGCTAGGTTGTCTTATCCATGATTGAAGTCGAGAACGCATCCATTTTAGTTAAAAGCTGATCCAGGACGATTGCTGACGGGTGATCCATAACACGGAATGGTGGTCGATCCATTGCTGGTGTTGTGTATCGATGTATATAAAGAATGCGTAGGTTTGTGAGCAAAGCGCGAATTAAATACATCTAGGTCCTCAGCTCGCTGCCGTGTGCTACATTTAATCCTAATTTTCAAGATACTTCTAAAAGCTGCAACAAGCAATTTTAAAAATGTTATTAAGCTTCCACAAGCGACTATCATTATGTCCGTAATTAATACTTTTATGGTGATAACTGCAACATTACCGTAGTACATGTGACGTCATCCACGCACATTCAGCAATGTATCTCAGTAGATCGATTAGATATTGCTACCAACTAGCACGTGTAATGGATTATTTCAAAATCTGAGAAGATCTCGTTTTTTTCAATCTCTTATGCATCTTTTGTTTCTGCAAATTGGTTCAAACTGAATGTGGTTTTTATATACGATAGTATCACAGAACAATACTGATTTTTAATTAATTTTGATTGACTCATCCATGGAGGATTTTTTTGTGGGAGGTATTTAAAAACGGGATGGTCGAAATTGATGTTGTTTAGACGATGTCGTCGTAATACGAAATTCAGCAGTATATTTAGTTCAAATCTTGATCCTCATCCATCATCATATGAATCACCGCGGTGAGCAACTTCAGTCGGTTTGAAGGCGTGATGATGTGGAAGAAACTGGTGTGATTTCAGAGGAGAAATTGGGCTTCGGAGCCAGATCCAAATCGTCATCAATGCTCAGGACATGTGTCACAACACTCCCAGCCAATGTAACGAACATGGAACACATGGCTCATAGAGAGAATAGGCAAAGCGTAGTAAGGGCCTCCTTTATGTAGTGTGGCTATGTTGTGTGTAGTTGGATGAGGGCGAAGATGTGCGGTCAGGACTCTTAACGACTCCACGATTTATTTCATCGGGAACATCTTGGCATCCTCACCGATAATTACTTACGATCCTTTGGCCACAAGAACCACACCTCTTTGAAAGGCTCTTTGACCCGTTTAATTGGTGCACTGGAGAGCCTCCGGTACAAGTGTGCTCTGAGTTGCGGATACATTCAAATGCGAAGACTCTACGTGCAGTTATTACTCGTGAATTGGTCAGTTTTACGCAATATATACTAACGAAAGGAAATAAAAACGAGAGAAGTGTGAAGAACAGTATGTATCTCACATTAAATTTTGGTGGAATTGAAGGTATGGATGATTTTGGTAAGTATGAAGATGATAGAGCTCCGAAAAAGAAGAAGTCCATCGTACCCTTTGATTGCTAACAGCACTTGTGCCAAAAGAGCAGGTTTATTAATAAGTGAAAAAACATGATTTTTTTACAGTCAAAATAGTTTTAAATACATATTCTCTGGAGCTAGCTGATCGAAGTAGCCACCTACTAATGGTAACTCTCTCGGTTTTTGCTGCTTAGTGAAGCGTACAAGCCCGATCTCTGTGCGTTTGTTAACTTCGCTAGTCTTCAGAAGTTTAAAAAACTGTTGTTGCATTTTTCTAGCTTTTAAAAATTAAAGTGGGAGACATTAAGTTTTTGAAAAATAACTTTGTTTTTATTGGAATTTACAGTATTTCTCTGATTTTTAACAATTACAAAGATGGAATTTAAGTAATAAATTTGATGCTATAATAACGAGCTGAAGAATATTCTGGAAAATTTCTTAAATCTTTTTGAATCAATGACTAAATCAATAGTTCAGTTTTTCTGCAACCTGCACAACATATTTGCTTAAGCAACCAAATCATATGAATCTTTTTATTTGAAAAATAATTTTTTCCACAAGGGCTTCTGTTCTTCTTTAATGGTTTTTGCGAATGCTTTGGCCAGTTGAGACCTATTGGTCGACACAACTACTCCATGATTCGTTTCCTCAACCACTTCTTGGTACTTTTGTAAATTGCTTACGGTCACGGCGTCTAAATTGTGGTCTACTAGTTTCAACACTTCATCAAGAGTTACACCGTTTTCTTTTAAAGTGTAGAGAAAGGGAAACATGTAAGCTTGGTTGTTTTTGTTCAGCTCTCCGTGTTCCTCTAAAGCTGTACTCGACAAATTAGCTTTCCACTTCCGTTCCACAGCTGTTAGTTTCGAATACGAAGAGGAAGAGGAAGAGCCGACTCTTTCTTCCTTTTGAGCGTCCTCCAGAGAGTTTGTCCGCAACGAGAAAGTCGTTGCTTGCGTGTCGTTGTCAGCAGTCGTGGATAACACGGCATCATTCACTACAAGTGTAGCTGCAAGTAAGACCAGGATCAAAAATGTACGCATCGTTGAGTGACAGCAGGCAGTGATGTGATCTGTGCTGCGACTCGTGAATTGAAGAATGTTTCTATGTTGAGCAGCACCTTACCAGTCTCATGCGCTAGTACGCCATTTGTCTCACTATTGAGAAATGGTCACACAAAAAAGGCAAACTGGATGTAAGCGGAAAAAAGATTGTACGATTGCCAATACTGTAAAAAGCAAACAAAGACTTGCGATTGTATGTTCTCAATGCCAACTTAAATATATATGAGCCGCGTGATCACCGACCACGATGTACAGCAGTGTCACATAGGTAGCACCATTTTCTCGGCTTTTGAAAATTAAGTAAGGTCGACAATTCTCGTAAACAATGCCAAGATCAAATACCATTACGTACACAAGGGAGTTCGGTAGCTGCACAAACCCTTTTGCAATGCTTGTATCTACAAAAAACGATAGATCAGTTGCTATCTTTGAACGTGGGTTTACGCAGAGGGTAAGGGTAGGTATTTCGTACTCCCATGATAAGCGCAGCTTTGTCGCTCGCAGTCTATGATGTAAGATTCAAAGAGGTGATTTGATGATCGGACGCAGTCAACAAAGTTCAACGCAATTTTTGGCTTGTCTTGTTGTAATATACATAGCATTTCAGCACTATGAAGTGGAAAACAGGACCATTCAATCCACAAACTTGACGATGCATCCACATCCACATGATCGACCATAAACAAAAAGGAGGTGCGTAACACCTGGTATGCGCCATTGCTCTTTGTGTTGCTTGCGATCTCTGTCCTGCATCGAGTGGATAGACTGGATTTCTCTAATCTTATCGGATCGACCGGGCCAAGGAATAAGCACTTATTGCTCTCAGAATATCATGGCTTCATCGATGGGAGTAGAAATGTCGTCCTTATCTTACCTTTTTATTTCATGCCACATAGAGAACAAGAGTCAGAACTATAGGGTTCGAAAGCTCCGAATCTTTGGAAATTTTAAAAATTCGAGCTTGAAAAATGAGCATTACTAAATGTACTTGATTTCTCGTGCTTTTCTGTGGCTGACATTCGTTAATCTTCCTTGTTACAAAGGAGACACTTACGGAGTATATGCAGAACCTGATCACAACAATTGAGATATCATTGCTTGACGTAGCGACTGTCTAGTGGCAAGTAGGTCATTGTTGACGCCTTCAAGAACGGCGAGAGTTTAGGCTTCGTACAAGGGTTAGAGTAAATTTGATTGGGTGTGACCTCTCAGTGTCGGCTGAAAGGCACGACTACGACTATCGATGATGGGCAGAATCGTATGCCTATTCGGAATCGACTGTACTGTATTTCACACAAGATGGTTTTGCTGCCATATGCTGTGTACTTTCAATTATTGTATCACTATCGACAGACGAAGAGAGTAACATCTGCGCGCGACATTAATAGTTTCGGTAATTGCGTTAGCATACGATCTGCTAAGATACGTGTGCTGCAACTAGAAAATTTCTTATCATAAAGAAAGAAAAGACTGCTTTAAGTGAGAGAGAGGCAAGACACGTTTCGTTTAGCAAAACACGATAGAAGCATCATAAAGAAAACATACAAATGATCTCATCGCTGGAATCAATTTTCTTTATTCAAACTTCGACGTAGTCTACACTATTTAGCCTTCGGTCACAAGTATTGAATTTGGTATGCGAGTTGTTGGAATTCGCCCAGCTATAGATCCTTCTCTCACATCCTCTGACTTATTCTTGTCTTTTTTTTACTGGTAAGGAAAATAGTAATTTATTGATTATATGACAGTACGCAAAAAGCTATATTGTATTGATGTAATTCACAATATGTACTAATTTCATACCGCTTTTGAAATGTACAAAAGGTTAAGCTTGCTTTTACTATTCTGATACAAAGCCAAATACCTCGTGGTAGCCTGCCTACCTTTAAAGTATATAACTTCGACATGTGTTGGGATCTCACTTTATATTTTGTCTATTGCAAGCCGAAGTGCAGGTCTCGTCGAGATAACGTCCAGCTGCTCGCAACGGAGTGCGTACCGTACAATGTTTTTTGCACACATTACACTCCTGTCATTATTGTCCGTCGGGTACACTTAATTTCTGGTGTGATTGGCACACAAAATTACCGAAAGAATAACAAAATGTTTATATAAATTTTAGATATGAGCGATGAACTTATTGACTCAAACATCGTCTTGATGGACAGCATTTGCTATCCATGTGAACGAATGCATCTTTTCTTCGTCATACCATAGCGACACAATTGCAAGATTTTATTTACTCATTTCTAAGCAGCCAATGAAGGTACGAAAAATGACAGAAACAAAAAATGTATCATCAGAAATTTCTGTCATGTTTGATTCAAGAGTTTATTAAAGTTCTATTCAATTTTGCTAATGTGCTTTCGAAGTCGTTAGCAACCGGATCTTTGACAATCATTAAGTGTTTTTTTACCTGACGATTTTTCCAACAGCTGCTCGACATACCAATTTGGTATCATCTTTGCATTGTTTATTCCATCAAATTGTTAATTGAAAGGTATTGGTCGATGAAATATCAGTAAACTAGCGACTTCAAGTGTGCAAAGGTTACTGGCTCAGTCCAATATTTTCGATTATAAGTGTTAACGTCCGGGCTTTTTGAAGCCGTGGAAGATCCTTATAGATACTGGATCATTGTGTAATTATGTACGACGAGCAAGTTTTGGTTACGGTATATAGCACGCGGGGGCATTGAGGATGCCAAATACGGATGCAAAATCCGTGCGTCAGTGAAGAGGGTGCTGCTTTAATGTCGAAGGCTCCAACGACGCAATTCGCGCGCTCAGTCCCACCGTCGGTCTGCTGATGGTCCGCTGTTGACATAGTCAACTCGGTGCCCAGCACCTTGAAGATTGTAGACAATACTTTCCAGTGAAGCGTGTGTCTCGGTCAGAGACAATTGACTACGGAAATCCATGTTGTCAAAAGACGCAATCGACAAAATGCGTCGATGGTGTCCGGCACTACCGCAAGATGAGCCATCTTGCTCAAATGGTCTACAAACACCACGAAATCCATGTTGTTCACCGAGTCCTTCGGCAGGTCATTCACAAAGTCCATACTCATGGAATGCCAATACCCGGAGGGTACCGGTAAACTGGTCAGCAATGCCGTCACATTTGGAGAGGTTTTCCTCCTATTACACGTCTCACACGTGCGCACATATGTGCTCGTTCATTTGTACAGCTTGAGCTGCCAATATTGGCAATTCATCAAGTTGTACATTTTCAGTCGACCGAGAAAATCAATCTTGCGTCTCATAGAAGATACGGTAATTCAAATTCACATCGTGAGGAATCACAACTCGAGGCATATCCGTCGAATTGGCTTTATAATACAGCAACTCGTAATTCAACGAATATCGGTGTAATAGCAAACGCGCCGACAATTCCTTGTCCGAATTTCCAAACTCATGCTCACCAGAGCCGCGTATGCGGCACGGAGCAGTTCCGTCACTGACTACGTCACCGTTGTGACATGAACAAGCTCATAATTCTGCCTGCGCTACAACGCATCAGCCAAAGCATTCTGCGTTCCTGGCTTATACTTCACCTCGAAGTTATATTCTGCGAAGGAGGAGAACCACCTGGCTCTTCTCTCTAAGAGGTAAGGCGGCTGAGTCGCGGTGACTAATGCGCATGATCTGTGTAGATTTCAAACGGCTTTGATCTAAGCAGGTGCCCAGTCCTTGACAAGTGTATACATCATCGCAAGTAATTTATCGTCGTGGACTGGGTAGTTCCTCTTTGCAGCCTTAAGCGGGTGATATTTAAAAGCGATCACCCGACTCTCGCCCCTCGGCGTTTGATTGCAGCAGCGCACAGCCGATGGCATAGCCTGAAGCGTCACAGACGACACTAAAAGGACAATCGGGGTCTGACAACGCTAGTATTGGTGCATGAAGAAAGCTGTATTTGATTTTGTCAGAAGCCAAACGATGCTCGGTGTCCAACACCATTCCTTATCCTTCTTCAGGAGATTTGAGAATGGCCGTGCCATTTCCGCATAATTTGCGCTGTACTTGTGCAAGTAGTTGGCGAGGCCAAGCCACTTGCGCAAGTCCTTTTGGTTTTCTGAAACCGGCCCGTCCTTAATGGCCTTTACCTTTGCAGGGTCTACTCGAAGGCCACGCTCCCCAATGAAGCAACCGATAAATAAAATTCTTCTTCGCCGTCGGTGCACTTATTTCAGCTTTTTCGCGCGCATGCACTCGAGCACCGCTCTCAAATGGACGATGTGGTTTTCCACATCTGCCCTCTCGTGCCCTTAGAGGCATTTGATCCGCGGGAGGGTCAAACTCTGCGTCTCCTGCTCTTTAATTGGTCGAAAATATCCGTCGGAAGGTTCTGTGAGTCGGTCGGTAACAGAGCTGTTACCAGCGCCTGTTAAGCAACAGAAACTTGTCGAGGTTGAATTTTCGCTTCTAAATCATACATTATACAATGGATGCTAACGACCTAATAATTTCTGCATTATCTTGTCTCTCGGAATACAGCAAGGCCGCCCATCGCAGCACGCTTCTCAATTATGGGCGGCAATCTACCTTGCAGTGAGTAAGACAATTGGTTAAGAGTGTGTTTGAAAACAAAAAAGTGCAGTAGACATTGGGATGCACTTTGACGCTGGCGTCGTGCTCTGCTGTTTGCAACTCACGCATAAAGCAACGTTCCGGTTAAACATCCGCTTTGACAAAAGTTGATGATTGAACAGAAAGACGAATGATATGACGCGTATTTCACCCCAAGTAAGCTGAGTTCAATACTAATCAGCACCCTCGCCAGTTCTAAGTATCTGCGGTCTTTCCTCATTGGGATACGGATCGCTGCTACTCCAAGTTCAAATGGTACTCCTTGGTAATGATGATCTTTAAGGTGATAAAGCGATCGCTTCATGGCTTTTTAGATTCTCATCGATAAGTGCAATGGTCTGTGCGCTTATGCATTTCAAAATTTACAGCGGAGCAGTGAGTACTTTCA